TCGTTTGGGCAGGTAGCACGCAATTGGGTTGTGGTGTGACCCAATGCCCGAGAAACCAGTTCCCATATGGATTTTCGATTGTGTGCAACTACGGCCCGGGGTGAGCACATTCGCATCAATCTATTCTGTTTGAACAACGCTCATTCAATTGTATGTGTACACATCACTGTTCTTATTTACAGCACACACTTTCACACTTTTAGCATCAATCGAAATTCTCACTTCCAGCTCGAAGGTTGTTATATAAATTGTATTACAGTTGGACAGGTTTATCATGCGTATTATTGTAGCTATTCGATGAGTAAGCACTTGGATGCATACTAGGAAACCCGTGATACGACTGATGTTTCTCGTTTACCACTTATTCGAAATTGCTCGAGAGAGGCTGGGTCATTAACCCATCATTTAATATACATTTTACTTATCTATCGATAGCCTTTAATCTGAATTCTGGTCGCTAAGTTCCAAAGTTGTAGTATCACGTTTGTTTCATCATCCACTTTCAGCGGCAACTATGTGAGTCAAAGACCATACAAAGTAGGCGATAAGAGCAAATGCCCGAAAAAAAGTACGTTTTCCCATTTCCTTTGTACCATGGCTCCACAAAACGTGTTCCCCATGAATTTCGTTGTTTGGATATGATGTGTTAGTAAATCGGATCATGTGACATGTTCAGATCATCTGTGGATTTATTCGACGAGTAACGTGTTTTCCAAACCATTCACGCTTCTGTGTTGTGTGATCACAGGCATCATTGGTGGATGTATGGGACCACAAAATGAATCGCTCATCAACACCCGCACTCATAGGGTTGATTCGCACAGAATCACTTTTTTTAAACACAACTATTTTCAAAAGGATCTGGTCTCCTTTGATACCTTACTTTTGCATTATTTTGGTTCCCAGAATAAACGACACTGACTCGAGGGAAAAACAAATGAAGTACCCATTGAAAGAAAACAGTTTAGAAAACATGGTTGTTCTCAACTACTGATCAACTGTGCAATTTATCATATTTAAAATTGCATCAATTATGATCGAGAACAGAAACAGCAATTGAATAGTGAAAGAGACGAGGCTTTTTCTGTCCGGGATACATTTTTAGATGCGGCTAGCCTAGTGATCAAGATCTTGACTGGATGATGTTGCCCATGTGAGGTGGGTACGTTGACTGCGTGTCGAAGTTGGATGGTTGAGGTACTCTTGAACTACCGACTTTTGTCCTTTATTACATGAATTTTCATTTGTCACAACGGTTTTCTATTCCAATCTTATTATTATGGTTAGTCTAAATTTTCCTCACTCATTGTTGCCACTGAATACCAATCCAGTCAAATTTTTCCCACATTTCTTAATATCTGTCTCATCCCGAATAGGGCGCGTAATAAAATCAGAAATGGGGCACATTAGTCACTTTTAATGGATCGTGTGCAACTGGTTGTAAACTAAATAAATATCGAAAATTTGTGATCTTGTTTGTTTTGGGGGCAAATTAGCAGTCGCTTGCTTGTCGGAATCTACCAAAATATTTGAACATCATTCAGCAATATTTCCTCTGAATTCTGGTCTAATTCTGGTCTAGTTTCCGGTAGTGTTCTTTGTTGATACCTTTAGCCTTGGGGACCCAAAACACATTTTCATAATACCGGTTACTTGAAGTAAAACTGTTCCCAGCTCTAGGTATTAGATCTGTTCGGGATCTAGGCCAAGGTTCAGTGACGCACCAAGCCAAAGATGGAATCAAACTAAGTACGATCGATTGACTAGCGTTCGATAAAGGCGGTACTACAGGTAAATAATGGTTACATCACAATCACGGGTACAAACCTCAATTCGTGGCGTTCTCACAGGGAGTTCATCAAACAGTCAATCGATCTAGGCTGATACAGATGACAGCTACTAAGGCCAATCGAGCGGACAAAACGTTCGGTGGCCGAACAAAGCAAAACTGGCCGGACNGACTGTCACGAGGACTGTCCAAGCACAGTCGGGGTACAAGGTCACAAGAGTCATGTCACAGGTAAACAGTCAAACAGTTAAACATGTGCCGGAGAAGGTGCACGTGTGTGTGTGAGAGTGAGATATAGGGACACGGGTGCGTGCGTGTGTGTCCATGCCTGTGAGGAGGCAATCGGAAGGTCACATGATCGAACATGAATTTTGTATGTCGATTGTGAAAAGTTCAGTAGCCTCGGTGGGATTCGAACCCACGCATGGACGCCGCCTACGCTTGGTATGCGCATACTCTACCAGCTGATCTACGACGCCACACCCATAGAACTGATCTTTTCACATTGAATTGGCAATGGGTGCCAACATAGGGGAGGTGGGATGCCAAGTGGACAAGGAATCGAGTCAAGTAGTCAAAACGTGGGCGCATAGATAAGCTTACGTGAAGATAAGCTACTGTGGATCAAAGTCTAATCGATAAATGCGGTCAATAAGCGACCAAGAGCAATGCAGACTGGGGACATTGGAAAGAACCGGTAAAACAGAATCAACACTGGGAAAGAACCTGATTCAGAACAATGCTAGTATGCTGAACCAAAAGAAAAATTGATAAGTATGACCAAACATTCCTCCAATAAAAAATAAGGATAATCAGAGAAGGTAAAATGCTTCAAATTAACTCCATATAAATCTGAGTTTTACGAACAGATTAGTAACAGAGACGTCCTTAATTTCTCACCATAATTCCTCATATATATATGTCGGGCAAATGACTTCGTGTCTTTTTTCGGATTCCCCGAAAGCTATAGCGATAAAAGATAATTCAGTTGTAATGTAAACCCCAGATAACTATTTGGGTACTACTGTGATAAAACTTGACGGATAGAGGGATATAGAAAACAATGGAAAGAAGAGCAGTGTCTCTAACGAGGTAAGCAAACAAAGCGGACGGAAAGAACGCTCGAGACAATGTTCAGCACAACCCGAAACTGATAAGGTGACACCTACAGCTCGACACACGATTCACAGCTAATTAAAGAAATCACGTTAAGATAATCCAACCACAGAGCTATCGGTCTATGTATCGTTCTTAAACATCAATCCATCCCAGTAGGAACAGTTCAAGGATGAAGAATTGAGCCTTTCTTCGATGTCTGGTAGGAGCTGTCACAGATGTGCAGATGTGCATCATCTTGATGTTTGAGAGAGGATCAGTCGTACCTAATCAAACGTGCTCATGGTTTTCTTTGTTCCGTGACCGGCCTTTACTACTGCGCTATAGCATAAGGAGGACACGGTTGATTAACTTGTTTCATGTGAATGCATCCCGTCACAGTTTTGATGCGCGATTTTGGTAAACCGGAGCTGGGAACAACTCAACCCCATGGCCTCGTACGAATGGCTTCTGTTTGTGAAACCCGACGGCTCTGCTGTCGTCCGAGGTAATATCACAGCTTACCTGTCCAATCCTTGTGCGGTTCGCTAATCCATGTTCCATAAAGAGAATGCCCACTGTCTACTTTTTCACACATCATGAATAACAATACCTACGAAATCATTGGTTACGCGCTATCTCCAATCAATCATAAATTGCTCTTAGTAATGGTCGTGACTTGAACCGTAATATTGGCTCTGTACTCCATTTTCTGTCCTCTATTTCGCCTTTTACCTCATTTGGGTCCGAAAACCAATTTTATTCAACTATCGACAACACATTACAGCTTCCCTCTTAAAACCTGTTTCTTTTTCAAAGCTGATGTTTGTGCGTCTAGTCATTAGTCAACTACTCTTTCAACCCTGCCCATCACATCTAATTAAATTGCATCTATCGCTAGTTCTGAACTGCGTGACTAAACCAATGTGCTTAACTGCACCAAAAAGGTGAAAATTCCAAGATCTGATAAAAAAAAATACATCCCCTGTTTTTATCGTAATGTCATTGCATTCACCTATTGTTGTGGTCTCCAATTGACTGATACGTTTGTCATGTATGCCTGCAACTGGATCGATTGATTGATCCATCGACAGACAAATGCTGTCAGCTAGTACACACGCACATACGCCATGAGGATTGACCCTGCTACAATATCGATCGGCTCCAGCCAATCGGATATTTGTATTGAGCTGCCCTCACTGATGAATTCGTTGAAATTTTGAATGCCTACTCGATGGCATACGGATGTTGTGTAGCGCCTAAGTCAGTTGTCGCCCTGTCTACCTGTCTGCCTTCCTGCACGTTGCTCGTTCCTGCTTGCTCACCGGTCTACATATGTGTCGTCTA